TTCTTCAAATTTATTTCTCCCAAATTTATTTTTAGGGAGGGTCTGAGGCTGCGGGCTTTATGGAGCCAAAGGACAGCCCTAAATTAAAAAGCTGGAAGACCGCTTGCTAAGTGGAGTCAACCATTAACCATTCAATAACAGCAGAAGAATACTTCTAATATTATTTGTTGAAAGAAGGTTTGGTCTTTAAAAGCATGGGGGGGAAAGGTGTCCCACTCATATGACCTGCTGTTTGGCGCCAGCAAGCCGCAACTAGTTCAAATTCAAAAGTGTCTTCTAATTTTGGATGCCTTAACATTTAGGTATCCAACTTGACACACCTATGACCCCACTTTCACTGGTCCCATTAACCTAAGTGGAACTGTTGGTGCTCAGGTTCTGCCTATGTCAAGTTCAATGTCCTCAAATTGAGGCAATTATGTTTAGAGGCCATTCTTGGGAAAATTTGTTCCTAAGTGATTTGGTCTAAGGTATCACAGTACGTCTGTTACAGAGCTTGGAATAAAACCCAGCTCTCCTTATTCTGAGTCCTGTACTTCAACCATATAATATTTATGTGACCAGTCCTCCAAAATCTCAATGGGGCTTTGCAGAATTGGGTCTTGGGTTTTATTTCATGTCAGTTGACATGGTGAGGAAAGGAAGAAAGCACTTTTTCTAACCTAGCTGATGAAAGAACACACAAAATTGGTTAGGTCCTTCAATGTGTACTTTTGTTGTTTTGATGCCTAAAAAAAAAAGGAGCAGGGAGATAACAGTGGAAAGTTCGGTTAATCTCTGTTCTACATTCCCACTATCTCTTTTGGTCCTGTTTATAAAATAATAGGGACCAGATAGCCACTAGCAAATACAGTTGTTATATTTTTTTAAGTGACATTGTCACAGCACGAACATCCAGTCTTTGTTTGGATCTATGAAAACATGTGTTTAAAGTTTACTCAGAACATGGTTATGACTGTTGTCATGACATCAACAGAACCATTTTAATCCATTAATATTGTTCACCTTGTTGCTCTGAAGTATTCACAAAAAATTAATTTAATCTAGAAATAATCCTGTAGGGCCATATTTTGCCTTCAGCTATGAACATGCAGATCCCAGTGAAAATGGCTCAGGCATATAAAGACACAATTCCACCTGTAGGGAAATTTCCAAAGGCACAAATGGCACATAGGTAAGGCTAAGATTTTGTCATGGATATTTTTAGTAAAAGTCTCGGACAGGCCACAGGCAAAAAAGAAAAATTCACAGAAGCCGTGACCTGTCCGTGACTTTTACTAAAAATATCCCTGACAAAATGGGGATCTGCAGGTCCCCACACTGCCTGAAGCAGGGCAGCTACACTGGGGCTGCAGGGTACCCCTGCTGCCTGCATCTCCAGGAGGTCCCCGCTGCCTGTGGGGTTCCCCCGCCTCTGGTGTCAGCCAGGAGCTGTGGGGATTCCCCAAGGCCAGAAGCTCGGGGGTTCCCCGCTGCCTGCGGTGGTCAGGAGCTCAGGGGTTCCCCCACCACTGGCATCTCCGGGGCCCCCACTGCCTGCGGTAGCCGGGAGCTGCGGGGTACCCTGCCGCCTACAGCAGCTTGGAGCTCCAGGGCCTGCCAGAGGTGGCGGGGATACCTCGCAACTCCATGGGCAGTGACTTCTGCCACTAAATTGTAGCTTTACACTCAACTCCCACTGATTTTCAATTTGGATTTTCACATTTGAAAATCTCCCTCTTTATATTTAAATTTAAAAATATTCTTAATTTGTAATGGTTTGATACACATAACTTAAATGCTTTGTAAATCAGCAAGATCATTTAGAGATCTATATTTTTCTCTTCTCCAAAACCATTTGTCTGTTTCTCAATTTTGTTCTTTAATTTGTCTTGACTATCTTCACCTTTACATTTGCTATAGGAAGACCTAAGTCAGTTGCTAAGTCTATAGCTTTTAAGCGCTTTTACTCTCGAAGGGGTTTCTTTCATGTTCTAAGCCAACCTCCTGGTTCAAAAAAAGTCTTTAATTCGATTGCATTTTGAGATCACTCTGTGTAAAATTTCATGGGAAAATATATTTAAAAAGCAGGGGATTTTGTAGAAATGGAAGGGAAAATTCTTGTCAGATATGGAATATTTTCACTATTTTGGAAGTGTTAATTTTATCTAAGCATTCCTTTGGTCACCCTTTTAGATTTTTTCTTCTTTTAGACAAGATAGAATCTCTCTAAGTCTGACTGTCAAAGGTTGCCTATGTATCTATATATAGATATATTTTTATTGGAATAAAAATAATAGCAGATGGTATGTGGTGAGGCTTCTCTTTAAAAACATAATCTAATAGAAGGAAATGAGTTTAGCAAGTGAATTTCAGAGATGTCTGAGCTTTGGGGGGCTTTGAATGTTGATATTTGGGATAACTGAAGCTGAATTAGTCTCTATACCAAATTAAAAATGTATTTCTAAATAAGCAAAAGTAATTGTCAGTGTTCTTTTGTGGAACAAATTATATACTTCAATGCTGGCAGCACTTCATCTATAAAGCAAGCTCAAAATATTATGAAACAAGTCTCTGCCTTGTCCTAAAGTACACATGTAAATTAGGTGAAAGTACAAGAGACCTCCTAGAGTCTCTTCCATTCTGTGTTGCACTTACAATCATCTGTTCCATGAAAAACACAATTTTTGCATGACTCACATTTCTCTAACATCTTGATTGTTTATTTTCAGTCTTATTTTAATTGAACAATTTAATTAATGGCGTGAACTGACATAAAATAATGGGTTTATATTTAAAACCAACCATAAAACATATACAAATTGTTTTTGTTTTTAAACACAAAAGCAATGAAGCAAATATTAGATGTAGTGTGCATTTTTGTAAGTTTGGGGATTTATTATAATATAGCACATCTGGTGTTGCTGACTTTTTCATTGCATGTCGATAGAAATTAAATAATATCCCAGCTTGCTGACAATTTGTTGTTACTGTGAAATCAAATTTACATGCTAATTTATGGTTTAGTCATCAAAGTGACCACTGAAGTATAAGGTTCATAAATAACAATTTGAATCAGTCTAGTGGGAAATGTGAAATAGTGACAGATTACTGTCATTTCATGTCAGTTACCACAGTATTTTCCTGAATGTTTTAAAAGGAGCTTTATAAA